TGCCCGGACGTGACGCAATGTGCGTTAGGTGTCCGGCTTCGTCCAAATTTTACGTGGGGGGGGTATAGATAGGGCATGCACACGTGCTGGAAAAATTTGATGTCATTTCATTCATGCCATCACGTACATCATGTGCAATCAGGACCGTTCAGGTTTGCCGGAGGTCAAGTCTCAAATGCATTTTCTTTTCTAACTCAACCAAAAATGAGCCCAAACTTTTTCCACACCCTCACAGCACCATGGCAATAATGCATGCCAATTTTTGTTGATTCCCGACGTTCGATGCATATTTTAGGGTTTTCCCGGTGAAAAAACCGTAAAACACCGCCCGGACATGACGCAACGTGCGTTCAGTGTCCGTTTTCGTCCAAATCATGCGTGGAGGGATAGATTGGGCATGCACACATGCTGGCAAAATTTGGTGTCATTTCATCCATATCATCACGTACATCATGTGCAATCAGGACCGTTCGGGTCTGCCGGAGGCCAAGTCTCAAAGGCATTTTCTTTTCCAACTCAACCAAATGAGCTCAAACTTTTTCCAATTTTTAGGATGTACAGAAGGATATTAGGTGACTCCAATTATCTATACAAAATAATTTGCGACCCTAGTTATAGTATTTTCCAAATATAGGGTGTATAGTTTTTGGCACGAAAATTAAAGAACGCATGTGGAGTGAAAATTTCACAAGTTTTGGGCGAGATTACACCTGACTAATTGACATGAGAAAATAGAGGAGTTTGCCTAATATAAGTAAATGTAATCAAATCCCTAAAAAAATACTCAAACAAGTGGGGCAACGCAAGACACCTTATATTTTGAACTTTTTCTAAAAGATCTATACACCTTATATCAAGGAACGGAGGGAGTATTTTTTTATTGCGAGCTATCTGAAGTGACATAAATAACTATATATCTGAAAAGTTACATAAAAAATATTTGTTCATCTGGTTAGGTTGTCTAGTGATGTCCTCAAGGTCACGGGTTCGAATCCCATTATGGACATTATTTATATTTTGCTTGTAATTATTTTTTATTATCTGTAGCCCAAAACGGTAATTCATTTTGTGATTTTCACCTATTGCCTCCTTTTCAGTGTATACTTTGCATACATGTGCAACCATCCGTCCAGATACCGCCATAGCCAACTTTTCAGCTCAAGAACAGAATATATAACTCACCCAAGAAATTAGAAATTGACTCGCGAGATCATATGAACACGCTTACTATGCACTTCCTAATCCCAATAAAATGACCTTCACGCGATAAGATAAATCATTCAGGAAACACCAACACAATAAATCTTCTGCCACACAACGCAACAAAATAATAGTTTCAGGAGATGCATCAATAGTATGAGTAGACGAGTACATGAGCGGCACCACCACTAAAAAAATCAATTCATATAAGTCTGGCATTATAAAAGTCAGGCATTATAAAAATAAAATTCACTTCTTTGAAACATTGTTTTCATTCCAAATCTCGTTAAACGGCTTCCACCTCTTGTTGGATGTCTTGGATGGAGCACCTTTCGGTTTAATTATTTTTGGATTCCGGACATTTCCTAGATATGCTTGGCTTGACCCTGAAAAATATGCTGGAAGAAGGCCCAGTGATGCCGCCTCATTTTCCCCACCATCTTCGCCGCCTTCAGCTATAATACCCTTGAGAAAATCCACCACCTTTTGTGACGTCTCCTGCCTATTTGAAGCTTTGAATAAATACAGACTACAAATGTTCCGGAGTTCATGGTAACGATCCATCCGCTCAGACCATTCATGCATATTACCATTCCTCTCTGAGTCAAATGCGGACTTGCCTACCATCGTCCATCTTGTTGAGACACAACACCTAGGAATGCTGACTAAGCCAAGGTATTTTAGAACAGGAAAAATGTGAGCGCACGGGATCTCCGATTCCATCTTTAGACAACGGCAATTCAAGCTCTGAAGCAACGGGCCTGCCATGACAAACCTCACATCATACGTCACATGCCTACTCTCTTTGCGAGCTACTGTATACAGAACAAAAGCATCATTCTTGGTCACTTCTGCTACTTCCCATTTTGACAACTGCATGATTTGATGTTTTACCTTCTTGAACATCACTGGAGTATAAATGAGAGCAGCACTTCTCTCAAGTGGATCAGCTGTTAATTCAGTAAAAGGTACTGTCAATGAAGCTGTAGCATCCAACTCAGCCTCATTCTTGCGGATACGCGATAAACAGTGATCTGAGTGCTCTAGCAAATCAACAAGTGACATTCTCCTATCCAGATTCTTATGAAGCCTAGAGTTTAGGCTTTCGCTATGCTGATTGCTCTGCATGCCAAGGAAATATCTACCTTTCGTATAGGCCCTAGACCACTTCTTCCTCAGCTCGTACATCGTCATAATCCAAGCATCTTTTTCAGAGATATCATAATCCACCATAAACTCAACCCAACGTCTCTCAAACTCATCGACATCCCAGATGTGATAAACAAATTTCCTAAAATCCTTGAGCTTTTGCTTCCGTAGGTGTCGTATCATGTTTTGCTCGATGTGCCAGCTGCACAACCGGTGATCTGTATTGGGAAAAACCGCCGCTATTGCCTTCGCCATTGCATGGTCACCATCTGTGATAACTGATCTAGGATGTTTCTGCTGCGTTGACTCCAAAAATGCTTCAAGCAACCACACAAAAGATGCCTCGGTCTCAGCTGAGACAATACCGAAGCCAAACACGGTCGTGCTGCGATGGTGATTCACTCCTATGAAGGGGACAAACGGCAGGTTGTATTTGTTCACACGGTAAGTGCTATCAAAGATCACGATGCCACCAAAGGCATCGTAGTCAATCCGAGACTGTGTGTCTGCCCAAAAGATGTTCAGCAGATGCCCTTCACTATCAGTTGTATACTTGTAAAAATATTCGCCATCCATGTCCTTTCGGGCTGCCATATAACGGAGCACAAATTCGGCATCACGGCCTTCTATCCTTTCCTTCTTGTACTTGGCAACAAAATTATACAGGTCCCGAGGTATAAAGCCTACCTTGCTGAAACCACCACTATCCTTCTCCATTACTTCCATTATTTGATGTGTTCGAAGGCCACCAATTCCATACTCAATGGCATCAGCCTTTTGCACATCACTTAGCCCACGATGTGACCTTATGTAAGTTGTCTGCTCAGGCTTAGCGAGTGGATGGTTATGTTCGTCCACAAAATCTTTTACAAACCATTCACCATTATCCATACGAAGCTCGATCTCCATCCGAGCACCACATCCACAACGTGACAGCGGCCTAGGAGTTCGCACCCGTTTAGTCTTCTCAAAGTGCTTCCTCGCCCGATATCCTTCTTTAGAGCAGACATAGAGGCGCCGAAAAGCTATGTTCGTGTCCGACTTCCTAGTCAGTTCTTCCTTTCTAACACCAAAACCCTTTGACCGAGCATATGCATTATAGTAATTGTAACCTTCTTCCTCGCTGCCAAAAATTTGACTGACTATCGTGTCATATTCTGCAATGTCCTCCAGGGTGGCACTCCCATATTCCATGTCAAACACTGCAATTAATAAAGAATCAAATCTAACTTATTTGAATTCCACTTGTGAAACTGATACTCGTTTCAGTACGAAGAATAAGATAGCCTTAGTATGTCGTGCTAAAAGTATGAACAATAAGATCAAAATGCATCAGTAACAATGCTTGCGTATATAATCAAACAGAACATTACATATACTCCAGTATGTCATTGAACAACATTTGGTACTATTTTTGTTATTGTCCGAAACTGAGCCATGATGTTTCGACGTTCATAGACAGCAGTACACAGGCATATGAATTCTAGCACAAAACAACATTACACTTAATAAACCGTGGCTACGCCCCCCCTCCCCCCACTATCCAGCACAAATGACCCACTGATAAACACCATGTACCAGATGACAATGCATTCCGTAAGAACATTTCTTTTGACGAGCATGCACTGCAGGATCTAATTAACTCTGATTTTCCCCATCATGCAAGATCTAATTAACTGTGATTTTTTCCATCCTGCAGCACTACTCAACATGATTTGTCCATGAACTGAAGACATGCCAATTCTACTTTAGTGTTCACAAGAGTAATCCTTACCACGTCCAGATACAGGGACGCGCCGCAGAGGTCCACGACGGCAAGCGTGGATATACAAGGGCGGAAGCAGCTTCGTCGACTAGGGTGGCGCGGCCGCAGGAGCAGGGCTGTGCGTGGGAGAGTGACAGCGACTGGCGGCGGCGCCCACGGCAGGGAGAAGGAGGCGAGCGGCGGCGACTGGCGGGGTGGCGCGGCCGCAGGAGCAGGGCTGTGCGTGGGAGAGTGGCAGCGACTGGCGGCGGCGCCCACGGCAGGGAGAAGGAGGCGAGCGGCGGCGACTGGCGGCGCCGGCAGGGCGGCGACTGGCGGCGGCAGGGAGAAGGAGGCGAATGACTGGGTGTGCCGTGTGCGTACAAAATGGGCTGAAACCTAGGCCCGTGGCAAAAATAAAACATGTCACACTTAATTTTGATGCTTATCCTACCTTCAAGAATTCAATGGTCAGATTTAGTTATACTGGTCCATCTTCTTCGGCAGTATAGGGTACCGTAAAAAAGCTCCCTGGTGGAGACTTTTGCAGCACACTATGGCTCTAATAACGTGCGAGCACCCAAATTCCGAGATACAGTAGCTTGGACGCTGATAGAGTGACAGTGAAATATGGGCAGAAAGTGGCAGCTTTGAAGATGTGGAAGTTGAAGTGCCAGTATCTCATTACACATACGCGGCGCACGTATCTAACATGGTGGCCTGATAAATTCCATGCAGCATTCTGCCGGGCCGCACATGGACGGGCGCTAGCTCTTCTTCCTCTATATATAGGCCTCTTCCGCCCGAGTCCATCCAAACCGGTCTCGTGCATCGCCCACTAGCTAGCGTACGTGACGATCGATCAAGCCACCGGTGCACTGCCTCGACAGATCAGTTCACGATGACGATGGCCGGCGGTTCTTCGGCCGTGGCGATCATGGCGCTGGGCGTGGTCCTCCTGGCGGCGCCGTCGGAGTGCGCGCGCGCCTTCTTCGTGTTCGGCGACTCCCTGGTGGACAACGGCAACAACAACTACCTGATGACGACGGCGCGCGCCGACTCGCCGCCGTACGGGATCGACTACCCCACGCACCAGGCCACCGGGCGCTTCTCCAACGGCCTCAACATCCCGGACATCATCAGTACGTGGCGACCACCCCTAGCAATCTGCCATTGATTTTGGTTAGCCAGTGCATGCTCGCGCAATGTGTGTACATGTTGGATCACGTGCGTGCGTGCGTCTCAGGTGAGCAGCTCGGCGCGGAGCCGACGCTGCCGTACCTGTCCCCGGAGCTCCACGGCGCGAAGCTGCTCGTGGGCGCCAACTTCGCGTCGGCGGGCGTCGGCATCCTCAACGACACCGGCATCCAATTCGTACGCGCGGCACGAACTCATCCCCAGCTCGGTTGATAATACTAGTTGGTACTATATGCATGCATTTGGACGGTGGTGTAGGTGAACATCGTGAGGGTGAGCAGGCAGCTGCAGTACTTCGGCGAGTACCAGGGGAAGCTGCGCGCGCTGGTGGGCGCGTCCCAGGCGACGCAGATCGTGAACCGGGCGCTGGTGCTCATCACCCTCGGCGGCAACGACTTCGTCAACAACTACTACCTCATCCCCTTCTCCCTCCGCTCCCGCCAGTTCTCCCTCCCCGACTACGTCCGCTACCTCATCTCCGAGTACAAGAAGATCCTCACGGTATGGTAACACACACCTCTGCACCTTCCGGCAACACCACTAGCCACAGGTAAGCAGAGACGAGCACCGGCTGACGCGTACGTTGGATGCATGCATGCAGAGGCTGTACGACATGGGCGCGCGGCGCGTGCTGGTGACGGGGACGGGCCCGCTGGGCTGCGCGCCGGCGGAGCTCGCGCTCCGGAGCCGCGACGGGGAGTGCGACAGGGACCTGATGCGCGCGGCGGAGCTGTTCAACCCGCAGCTGTCCCAGGCCCTGGAGGAGCTCAACGCGCGCTACGGCGACGGGACCTTCATCGCCGCCAACTCCTTCCGCGTCCACTTCGACTTCATCAGCGACCCGGCGGCGTACGGCTTCCGGACGGCCAAGGAGGCGTGCTGCGGGCAGGGGCCGCACAACGGCATCGGCCTCTGCACGGCGGTGTCCCACCTGTGCGCGAACAGGGACCAGTACGTGTTCTGGGACTCGTACCACCCCACGGAGCGCGCCAACCGGATCATCGTCAGCCAGTTCATGACCGGCTCGCTCGACTACGTCAGCCCGCTCAACCTCAGCACCGCCCTCCACATCGACGCCAGCCTCATGGACTGATGATATGCTACTAGAAGCTACGTACGTGTCGATCCGTAACTTTGTTGATTGTTGGTTGCTGCATGGCGTGGTTCATGCCACTCTCGGTTTTGAATGTGGTGTTAGTTGTGTGTTGCTAATTGGAGATCAATAAATCGTGTAACTAGTAAGCGTGTTACTGCAATGAACGTGTCATACTCGAAAACATAATGACCAGTGAGATGTACTCCTTCCATCCAGAAATACTTGTCATCAAAATAGATAAAAAAAGTATATTTAGAACTAAAATACATTTAGATACAACTCTTTTTATTCATCTTGATGACAAATATTTTCAGACGAATGGAGTATCTGCCAATGAAAACAGGGAGTAATAATGGTAACCAGTAAGGATCAAGGAGATATGGTGAAATGCATGTCTTATAACAATACAACATGGTAATAGCAAATTGTAAACTAAATACACTAAGAAAGAAGGTACAATTCAAGTTGTCGCATGCATCAATTCAGCATCCGAAAAAATGAATCATGTACATCAGATTTCTCCTGGATCAAAACAGGAATCACACATACTTGGAACGATTTCGGATGTTCCTTTGTATAACCCATTACACTAGGTAGATGATTTAAAACTCAATGATTGGAATGAGCATTTTCTATGTCCATGATTGTTCTAGTCATCCTAGTAGCATCTGACAAACTCTTCTCGTATTCCTCCGCTTCTTTCAGTTAAATCTGGTGCTCTATATTTTAACTTCTGGATATCTTTTTTATATTAATAAATTATGTACATACAATCAACCATACAAAGTGATCACCCAATACCAGTTTTATGAAACATGGAAACTAATTAAATGTTCTGTGTAACCCAGGAACTAATCTTATCCGCTTTTGAATGCTTCGCTTTGATCGGTGCTGCCCAAAGTCCTTCTTGGAGGTAAAACTTCCATCCCTGGATATGTGGAGCTGCTGCTCGAAAGATCTTATCGTTTCTGATCGACCAAATACCCCAACAGCCCATAGTGACAATATCTAGTGCAATATCTGGAGGGAGTTGTGCCATGGCTAGTTGGAAATCATCAAAGATGGCGATGCATCTAAGCTTGGAAGGAATGATGGATTCCCAGCATTGAAGTGCAAAAGGGCAATTCCAGAAGAGGTGGAGCAGGTGTAACGCCCTCGATGCGGCTATATCTCCCACGTGTCGAAGAACGACTTAGAGGTATAACCGCATTGAAAGCAATGTCGCAAGTGAGGTAATCTTCACACAACCCATGTAATACATAAGGGAAAGAGATACATAGTTGGCTTACAATCGCCACTTCACACAATACATGAAAAAAGCATTACATCATCCAGATACAAACAAGGTCCGACTACGGAACCGAAATAAAAGAAGACTACCCAAATGCTACACAGATCCCCGATCGTCCCAACTGGGCTCCACTACTGATCAACTGGAAATGGAACAACATAACAAACACGATCTTCATCGAGCTCCTCCTTGAGCTCGGTTGCGTCACCTGCACGGTATCATCGGCACCTGCAAACTGATTTTGGAAGTAACTATGAGTCACGGGGACTCAGCAATCTCACACCCTCGCGATCAAGACTATTTAAGCTTATAGGAAGGGTAAAAGGTATGAGGTGGAGCTACATCAAGCGACCAGCATATATGGTGGCTAACATACGCAAAAGAGAGCGAGAAGAGAAGGCAAAGCATGGTCGAGAAACTATGATCAAGAAGTGATCCTAGAACAACCTACGTCAAGCATAACTCCAACACCGTGTTCACTTTCCGGACACCGCCAAAAAGAGACCATCACGGTAATACACGTGGTTGATGTATTTTAATTAAGATCAACTTCAGGTTTTCTACAACTGGACATTAACAAATTCCCATCTGCCCATAACCGCGGGCACGACTTTCAAAAGTTCAAATCCCTGCAGAGGTGTCCCAACTTAGCCCATCACAAGCTCTCACGGTCAACGAAGGATATTCCTTCTCCCAAGACAATCCGATCAGACTCGGAATCCCGGTTACAAGACATCCCCGACAATGGTAAAACAAGTCCAGCAACACCACCCGAATGTGCCAACAAATCCCGATAGGAGCTGCACATATCTCGTTCTCAGGACACACCGGATAAGCAATCCGTACAACTAAAACCAGCCCTCGAGTTTCCCCGAGGTGGCGCTGCAAGGGGCTCTAGTTTGGACCAACACTCAGAGGAGCACTGGCCCGGGGGGTTTAATAAAGATGACCCTTAAGTCCGTGGAACCCAAGGGAAAAAGAGGCTAGGTGGCGAATGGTAAAACCAATGTTGGGCATTGCTAGAGGAGTTTTATTCAAGGCGAACTGTTAAGGGGTTCCCATTATAACCCAACCGTGTAAGGAACGCAAAATCCGGGAACATAACACCGATATGACGGAAACTAGGGTGGCAAGAGTGGAACAAAACACCAGGCATAAGGCCGAGCCTTCCACCCTTTACCAAGTATATAGATGCATTAATTAAATAATGGATATTGTGATATCCCGAAAAATATCCATGTTCCAAACATGGAACAAGCTCCAATCTTCACCTGCAACTAAGAACGCTATAAGAGGGGCTGAGCAAAGCGGTGACATAGCCAAACAACGGTTTGCTAGGACAAGGTGGGTTAGAGGTTTGACATGGCAATATGGGAGGCATGATAAAGCAAGTGGTAGGTATCGCAGTAAAGGCATAGCAAAAGAGCGAGCATCTAGCAAGCAAAGATAGAAGTGATTTCGAGGGTATGGTCATCTTGCCCGAGATCCCGCAAAGAAGAAGAACGAGTCCATGAAGAAGACAAACGGATGTAGCCAACGGGTCCTCACAAACGCAACGTTATCGGAACTAACCCGAAGAAGCAACACCGGAAAGAAAGCAAACAACATAGTAAACAACCACCACATAAACATGGCATGATGCACAACCAAGTATGATGCATGTCCGGTTTAAATATGCATGACATGGCAATATGCAACAAACAACACTACAAATTAAGTGGAGCTCAATATGCAACGAGTTGCATATTGACGGAACACCACATGACTTATTTAGTTCACTCTCGGTTAGGTACTCAACAATATTAACTGTTGGTTAACATGGCAAGAGGTGAAGCATAACAAAACTATATCATTTAAACAGTTTAAATGGGGCCGGATATAACAAATAACGAATCCGGTAAATCCCCATATGCATTAGTAATTTATTGCACCAACAATTTAAACATTTTAATTGTTGTTATCATGATGCGGATGACATGAACAAGTTTATGCAATTTTTATTAAAAGTTGACAAGAGCATTATGAAACATTTTGTCATCGTGGCGGAAACGAAAAGGCGTGCCACGACAACGATAATGGTAACGGTGCCACGGCAACGTTCCGGGTTCCGGTACTTTATTGAGATACCGATGCAAAGGGGAAATGTGCGGATGCGTGCAAAAGATGGTGGGGCGCTCCCGGATACCGGGTTCCCACGGGTTAGTGGCATGGAAACGAGTGACAATACGGACATGGTGCAGACAAAGGGGGCATCTCATCCAACATGCATTCATTCGTTCACGGGCGTCGTCTCGGGGTTATACCTTCGAGGTTGGACTTTTCGGAACGGATCAAGTTCATATCGGGAAGTAGGCGTTCTCGCGACGGCGGTAGTGGAAGTAGTCGTACATGACGGCGATAAAGGTACTCGCGACGGCAGTGGTACACGTTCGTTTCCGGAGAGGTACTTGACGAATCCAACGTTTTCGGGGCAACGGTAGTGGTACTTGGCAAAACGCATGTCAACGTTGTTGTTCTCGTATCGTCATGGAGGTAGTCGTTCACTCGATGGTCTTATCGGAACATCGTCAACGGTAGAGATCCACCTTGGCATTCCGAAGGGGTACTTGTCGTCGTGGTACTTGGCGGAAAACACGTCAAGGGTACTTGTTCTCGCATCATCGTGGAAGTAGTCGTTCGGGCTCCTGTGTGAACTTGCCGGTCTTGGTCTCCGCAGCGTAGTTGTGCAAAAGTGTCGTCGGGCTTGGACGAATCCGGAGGCGTGCACGAGCGGTGGTGATCTTGGAAGTATGTGACCGAAGCATGGAGGTGGACACGGTCAACGGAGGGACGTACATGCGGTCGGATCTGGCAGGCAGCAGCACTGCTCGTCCTTCTCGGTTGAGGCTGAGGCGAAGCAGGGCATGGCAAGCAGACAGCAAGGCAAGGCAGCTCGGGGCGGCTGCGTGGCTCCAGGAGCGATGTAGGGCTGTAGACGCGCACAGAGAGAAGCTACGGACGAGAAGGAATGCCACGACGGTGCTGGTCTCCGGCAAGGCGGCTGGAGTCGAGGAGCTTGGGGCGGCCACGGCGAGCGAGGAAGCAACATGGGGGAAGCAGGAGGCGAGGCAGAGCAGAGGCTCGCCGGTGGGATAGAGGAGAAACGGGCGTGGGGCGACGCTCCTCTCCGCCTCTCCTCCTGACGGCGCAAGGAGGGAGGAGACGAACGAGGGGAGAGGGAGGTGGATCGAGAGAAGGGGTTCGAGGGGAGATCGAGGAGATGGTGAGCAGGCGCTGGTGAAAGGAGGAAGGGAGCGAGGGGGGTTTGGGAAGACTGGTGGTGGCGCTCGAGGGAGATGGGGGTCGGGCAGAGAGGAAGGAGATCGAGCAAAGGCTCGCTAGGGTTAGGAGGGGTGTGGGCTACGGCTAGGCCTAGGTGGGCCAGCGCAGTGGGGAGGTAAAAGGCCAGGGCCTTGGGCCTTTTGGTGGAGATTCTAAGAGGCCAGTCAGTGCAGGCTGCCTCTCACTCTCTCTCTATTAAACTATTTCCTTTAACAGAAAAAGCATAGAGAGAAGAGAAAAGAAGAGGGGGGTTAGGGAAAGAATTACGCATGAGGGATAATTTTTACGGACTCGTATAGATGTGCACGGTCCACGAAAAATAGGAGAGGCATGATTGCAAGAATTTAATTGAAAGTCATTTGAATTTAATTCAAATGGTTTGAAC